ACGTATCCGAGAGTTCTGTGTCCTGTGCCTGACTTCGTTTACCGCATCTCACAGACAGTCGTGACAGAATCACACACCTTACCATGGAGTCAGCAGGAGCGACGGCACCGACTGGATCACTCGAGGAGCGCGTCCTACAACAGGCAGCGATGCTCCAAAATCTTGGTGCCGCTATGGATAACGTTATGGACACTTTGGGACGATGGGAGAGAGGAGGTTTGCCCACACCTCCTCCAACGATACCACCACCATCGGCTACTCCTATCGTCTCACATCCGGAGTCCAGTGGGATTCGGCTCTCGCTCCCGAGGGCTTATGATGGCACCGCAGCCGGGTGTCAGGGTTTCCTGCTCCAGGTGGAACTTTACCTGGCAACCATTCACCCGGCACCCTCGGGATACGAGAGCGTGTCCGCCCTCATCTCCTGTCTGTCCGGCAAGGCACTGGAGTGGGCCAACGCCGAGTGGGGAGGGATAGACGCCGCTACTGTGAACTATGCGGAGTTCACCCGCCGCTTCAGGGCAGTTTTCGATCATCCCCCGGAGGGGAGGGCGGCGGGTGAGCGTCTATTCCACCTTAGACAGGGGAGAAGGAGCGCGCAGGAATTCGCACTGGACTTCCGGACTCTGGCTGCCAATTCGGGATGGAATGAGAGGGCCCTCATCGACCACTACAGATGCAGCCTGAGGGAGGACGTTCGTCGAGAGCTGGCCTGCAGGGACACCAACCTAAGCTTCGATCAGCTGGTGGACATGTCGATTCGCTTGGATACCCTGTTGGCTACCCGCGGACGTCTAGCACTGGGGCCGTCCATTCCATCCCCCAGCACCTCCGAGCCGAGCCCTATGGAGCTCGGGGGTGCTGGTAGTAGGGAGGCCAGGAAGGAGGCTGTCCCCTGCACCAACTGTGGCCGCCGAGGACACACGGCGGTTCGGTGCTGGGGAGGGTCTCCTCGGATTCGAGGCAGCAGGCAGCGCACTGATGAGTCATTCCCGGTGAGTAAGGTCCCAACTCACCCAGAGCTCTCTGCTGTTCATATGTGTATCCAAGTGATGTTTCCAGAAGTTTCTTCTTACTCCCAGCATAAGGCGCTAGTCGATTCAGGCGCAGCTGGGAATTTTATCGATCGCCATTTCTCATATAAGTTAGGGATCCCTATATTACCAGTCGATGTGCCCTTCCCTATCCATGCCCTAGATAGCCGGCCTTTGGGGTCGGGATTGATTAGGGAGGTCACAGCGCCACTGAAGATGAAAACGCAGAGGGGTCATGAGGAGACTATACAGTTGTATTTAATTGACTCTCCTTCGTTTCCAGTGGTGTTGGGACTTCCCTGGTTAATATCTCATGACCCCAACATTTCGTGGCAACAGAGGGCTCTCAAGGGATGGTCTGATCAGTGTGTGGGGCGGTGTGTAGGTGTTTCCGTAGGGGCAACGACGGTGGAGAGTCCGAACCAAATGCTCATTCCTCCTGAGTATGCCGATTTGGCAAGCGCCTTTTGTAAGAGGAAGGCGACTCAATTACCACCTCATCGACAGGGGGTTGGCGCGGCGCTCCCTCGCAGCCATGTGTATCCTCTGTCTCAGGAGGAGACGGCTGCTATGGAGACATACGTCGCCGAATCCTTGAGACAGGGATACATACGGCCTTCCACTTCTCCTGCGTCCTCAAGTTTCTTTTTTGTGAAGAAGAAGGATGGGGGTCTACGCCCGTGTATTGATTACCGTGGTCTCAATCAGATCACTTTTAAATACAGCTATCCTCTCCCTCTGATTGCTAGTATGACGGGGCGCGCTTCTTCACAAAATTGGATCTCAGGAGCGCTTACAACCTGGTGCGCATTCGGGAGGGAGATGAGTGGAAAACAGCCTTCAGTACCACCTCGGGTCACTGAGTACCTCGTCATGCAATACGGTCTAATGAATGCTCCTTCAGTCTTCCAATCATTTGTAGACAAGATTTTCCGGGATTTGCATGGACAGGGGGTAGTGGTGTATATTGATGACATTCTGATATACTCCGCTACACGTACCGAGCATGTGTCCCTGGTACGTCGGGTGCTGGGTAGACTGTTGGAGCATGATCTGTATGTGAAGGCAGAGAAATGTCTGTTTTTCCAGGAGTCCATCTCCTTCCTGGGACACCGGTTGTCTGCGTCAGGGGTGGAGATGGAGATTGACCGCGTTTCAGCCGTGCGTAATTGGCAGACTCCAACTACAGTAAAGGAGGTGCAGCGGTTTTTGGGTTTTGCCAATTACTACCGGAGGTTTATCCGGGGTTTTGGACAGGTAGCGGCTCCCATTACCTCCCTGCTAAAGGGGGGCCCGGTGCGTTTGCAGTGGTCGGCTGAGGCGGACAGGGCGTTTAGTCATTTGAAGGACCTGTTCACCTCAGCTCCGGTGCTGGCACATCCGGTTCCCTCTTTGGCGTTCCAAGTCGAGGTGGATGCGTCCGAGGCGGGGATCGGTGCTATACTGTCTCAGCGCTCGGGCACGCCTCCAAAACTCTGCCCCTGTGCTTTCTATTCTAAGAAGCTCAGTCCGACGGAGCGCAATTATGACGTGGGGGACAGGGAGCTGCTAGCTGTGGTCCAGGCCCTGAAGGTGTGGAGACATTGGCTTGAGGGGGCTAACCACCCTTTTCTCATTCTGACTGACCATCGTAACCTGGAGTACATCCGGGCAGCGAAGAGACTGAACCCTCGTCAGGCTAGGTGGGCCATGTTTCTGGCCCGGTTTGTCTTTAAGATCACGTATATCCCCGGGTCACAGAACGTTAAGGCAGACGCCCTGTCCCGACGATATGACACAGAGGAGAGGTCCATTGAGCCCACTCCCATACTACCGGAGTCTTGTCTCGTGGCACCGGTGGTGTGGGAGGTCGACACGGAAATCGAGCGGGCGTTACGTACCGACCCTTCTCCCCCAGAGTGTCCAGAGGGACGGAGGTACGTGCCGCTCGAGGTCCGTGACCGACTGATTTATTGGGCTCACACGTCACCCTCCTCTGGTCATCCTGGTATAGGTCGGACGGTGCACTGTCTTAGCGGGAAGTACTGGTGGCCCACCTTAGCTAAGGACGTGAGAGTTTACGTTTCTTCCTGCTCGGTGTGCACCCAGTGTAAGGCGCCTAGACACCTGCCCAGGGGGAAGTTACAACCTCTCCCCGTTCCACAACGGCCGTGGTCTCACCTGGATTTTGTCACGGACCTTCCCCCCTCCCAGGGGAATACCACGATCTTGGTCGTTGTGGATCGGTTTTCTAAGGCCTGCCGTCTCATCCCAATGCCAGGTCTTCCTACAGCCCTACAAACGGCCGAAGCCCTGTTTACTCACGTTTTCCGGCACTACGGGGTGCCTGAGGATATAGTGTCTGATCGGGGTCCCCAGTTCACCTCTAGAGTGTGGAGGGCGTTTATGGAACGTTTGGGGGTCTCGATCAGCCTTACCTCGGGTTTTCACCCTGAGAGTAATGGGCAGGTGGAGAGAGTAAACCAAGATGTGGGTAGGTTTCTGAGGTCCTACTGCCAGGACCGGCAGGAGGAGTGGTCGGGGTATATTCCCTGGGCAGAGATAGCCCAAAACTCACTCCGCCACTCCTCCACTAATCTCACTCCTTTCCAGTGTGTGTTGGGCTATCAGCCGGTTCTGGCACCCTGGCATCAGAGCCAGATCGAGGCTCCTGCGGTGGATGAATGGTTTCGGCACTCGGAGGAGACATGGAACGCTGCGCACGTCCATCTGCAGCGGGCCATCAGACGGCAAAAGGCGAGCGCCGATCGCCACCGCAGTGAGGGTCCGGTTTATGCACCGGGAGATCGGGTCTGGCTCTCGACCAGAAACCTGCCCCTTCACCTGCCCTGCCGGAAGCTGGGCCGGCGGTTTGTGGGGCCATTTAAAGTCCTGAGGAGATTGAACGAGGTATGTTATAGGTTACAGCTGCCTGTTAATTATCGCATCAACCCCTCGTTCCATGTGTCTCTCCTCAGGCCGGTGGTAGCTGGTCCACTCCAGGAGAATGAGGTACGAGAGGCCCCTCCGCCCCCACTAGACATCGAAGGGGCTCCGGCGTACTCAGTCCGTTCCATCGTGGATTCGAGGCGTCAGATGGGGGGTCTGCAGTATCTCGTGGAGTGGGAGGGGTACGGTCCGGAGGAACGGTGCTGGGTCCCTAGGAGGGACATCCTAGATCCCTCCCTGTTGACAGAATTCCACCGGAGTCACCCAACTTGCCCTGCTCCGCGTCTTCCTGGCCGTCCCCGAGGCCGGGGTCGACGCACGGCTGGAGCCACGCGTCAAGGGGGGCTACTGTCACGGATTCTGCCGAGGCTGCTCCTCCTCCTTGCTCGGGCAGGCTTCAGCGTTCGTCGTCCCCGGAGTACTAGCTACTGCCGTTCAATGTTATCGGTGTTTGTTTAGTTTTGTCTGTATTGTTTACACCTGTTCGTCATTATGTTAATTGTTTCCCTTATAATTACCCCTGTCTCTCATCTGTACTTTGTGTGTGATTGTTTTCCCCTTCACGGTTGTCTATTTTGTGAGCGGGTTATTTCCGCCCTGCGTGGAGTTATTTTCTGTGTCCTTTTGGATCCTTTTCGTATTAAAAGTACGTATCCGAGAGTTCTGTGTCCTGCGCCTGACTTCGTTTACCGCATCTCACAGACAGTCGTGACATATAATTACTCATTGTTTGCAGGGCATCACCTGTGAAACCTCATGTGAAAATTTGAATCCACATGTGAAAGGTTATGTGATGACGTGAAAATCCACATGAGAAACATGTGAAATATCATCACCTGTAAAGTGTTCCAAAAACACATGGTTTCACATGATTTCACATGTGCAAAACATGTAAAAATGTGAAATGCAATTTTGCACATGTGAAATCATGTTTTTCCATAAGGGTTTTCTCTCAGTCTTGCTAGGTTGAGGAGTTTTCCATTATATTGGGTATCATTACTGAAGCTTAGATAAAATAATAATAAATATCTACTCCAGGAAACCAACACCAAGGAGTGGTACAACACTTCCGCCTCTCTGACCGTGAACATAGAGGACGGGGACGACCAGTACCCTCAGTTCCTACCATGCACAACCATCTCCCAGGACCACAACCACACGGTTGTCTGCACCAACCCCATCTACGCGGTCAACATCACAGAAAAGGACCAGGTGATGACTACTGCTTAGTGCTTTCATTGTAGAATTCAAATTATATGCATGTGCATACTGCATGCACTATAGATTTTTTGTATTTATTAAACCTTCATTTATTAACCAGGAAAGACACTTGAAGTTAGAAATCGCTTTTGCGAGGGCAACCTGGCAGGAGTCAATATTTAACAATTGATTGATTAAACAATCCATGTGAATTCTAAGATGCAGTAATTCTCTGGTTTCAGGACATGTTACTGAATTTCTCTCCTGGTCCAATTCATGCCGAAGATGGAGACAGAAGCCTTGATACGCCTTTGCTCTACTCCATTCTCTCAGGTGTGGGCCTACCTAATAATGGCTGCTTAATCCATAGTCGCCAATAGGCATTTTCAAGGCCTATTGAGAGGCCAGTAGACTGCTCTAATGTTTCTTTTTTGAAAGGATTGCATTGCAGCCTTACAGAAGTGAACTCATATGGTCATTCTGTGTGGCATTCCGTGGCCTGTGTATTTACCTATAACACATGCCTCAGGTGCAGACAAAAACAGGTTTCAGATTGACAACCAAACAGCAGAGATCACATTGACAAGACGGGTGGAAAATAGACATCTGACACCTATATTCCGACTACGCATCATGGTAAGAAAATCTTGATCGAAACAATGATAAAAGCACTAGTATCAGTAGCATGCGTAATCAAAAAGCCACAAATAAGACAATTTTAAGCCCCGTACTAAGAGCCTTTTGAAATCTAATTTGGTAACCGAATAGATCTGAAATATGATCTTCCTGGACTGTTTGACATTGAAAACCCCATCAATCATCTACAGGCATCTCAGCTGAATGACCCAAAGAAGTACAGTGTGGCAACAGCGCTGGTCCGGGTGCTAGCAGAGAACCGGTTCCCTCCCCTCTTTAACAGAACCACATACAAGGGCTTCATCATCGAGAGCTCCAGCCCTGCCACGCTAGTCTCCACCTATGGGAATGAGGTGCTTCTCATCCAAGCCATAGACCAGGACTTCATAGATGTAAGCAGTGGGACAATGTGTGTGTCTGACTAAATTTAGTTAGTTAAAAGGGATCATAAACAAAAGTATTTTCATCCCATCTTGGTTCATGGTACATCCTCTCTTGGTTCACCTTCCCTCCATTTGCAGAGGGTGAATCCAAAAATGCATTACTCTCTCCAGCCCACACCAGCCACAACTGGACTGTACCACATCACCCAGGAAGGGATTATCATCGCTAAGACCGACCGCCTACGACCTTTCGAGAGGCACATCCTAGAGGTAAGGTCATAATCAGACAAATATATACTGAACAAAAATATAAAACGCAACATGCAACAATTTCAAAGTTTTTACTAAGTTACAGTTCATATGAAGAAATCAGTCAATTGAAATAAATTCATTAGGCTCTACTCTATTGATTTCAAATGACTGGGAATACAGCTATGCATCTGTTGGTCACAGATAACTTTTTTTTAAAGGTAGGGGTGTGGATCAGAAAACGAGTTAGTATCTGGTGTGACCACCATTTGCCTCATGCAGTGCGACACATCTCCATCGCATAAATTAATCAGGCTGTTGATTGGGGCCTGTGGAATGTTGTCCCATTCCTCTGCAATGGCTGTGCAAAGTTGCTGGATTTGGCGGGAACTGGAACACGATGTTGTACACGTCGATCCAGAGCATTCCAAACATGCTCAACGGGTGACATGTCTGGTGAGTATGCAGGCCGGAAGAACTGGGACATTTTCAGCTTCCAGGAATTGTGTACAGATCCTTGCGGCATGGGGCCGTGCATTACCATGCTGAAACATGAGGTGATGGCAGCGGATGAATGGCACGACAATGGGCCTCAGGATCTCGTCACGATATCTCTTTGCATTCAAATTGCCATCGATAAAAAGCAATCGTGTTCGTTGTCCATACCTTATGCCTGCCCATATCATAACCCCACCGCCACCATGTGGCACTCAGTCCACAACGTTGACATTAGCAAACCGCTCGCCCACACGATGCCATACGTGTGGTCTGCGGTTGTGAAGCTGGTAGGACGTACTGCCAAATTCTCCAAAATGACGTTGGAGGCGGCTTATAGTCGAGAAATTAACATTCAATTCTCTGGCAACAACTCTGGTGGACATTCATGCAGTCAGCATGCCAATTGCACACTCCCTCAAAACTTGGGACATCTGTGGCATTGTATTGTGTGACAAAACTGAACATTTTAGAGTGGTCTTTTATTGTCCCCAGCACAAGGTGCACCTGCGTAATGATCATGCTGTTTAATCAGCTTCTTGATATGCCAGACCTGTCAGGTGGATGGATTATCTTGGCAAAGGAGAAATGCTCACTAAGAGGGATATAAACAAATTCGTGCACAAAATTTGAGAGAAATACATTTTTTGTGCGTATGGAACATTTCTGGGATCTTTTATTTCAGCTCATGAAACATGGGACCAACATTTTACATGTTGCGTTTATATTTATTTTCAGTGTAAAAACCTGGATGAGTTTGTTAAACAGGGACAGTTGGTTTTACTAGTCGTCCCTGGCTAACTGTATAGCTAGGTTAGGCCAATAAGTGGTCCAGTAGTAATACAACACACACTTAAATTAAAAAAATTAGCTTCACTTAAGATTAGGGTTAGAAATACACATAGAATCCTTTTTTGGCTTGAATCTACAGTTCTCTGTAATATCATTATTTATCCTTTAGGTGGTCGCTATGGATGAGGAATCAGGTGAAGTTGCTAAAGCCTCAGTTGACATAGAGCTGCTTCAAAGAGGCCAGCCAGGTAAGTACTGAGCATTACTGACGCATCGGGATCAAATACTTTTTCCCCTCACTGTAGATGCAGGAAAGACATCAATTGAACTCGACCAAAACAATGGAAATGCCATGGCAACGCCACTCATGCGTCTCCAATGGGGGAAAGATTCAGAATCTCCTCATTGCCCCCCATCAAAAGTTGCCTACATTTAGGCTATGGTATTTCACACTATTTTGGGGTAAAATTCAGAGTATAATGATTGTATGGATGTCAACCCCAATACATGTTCATGTCATTGTCACCAACTAACTGCATTACACTTAAAAACGGCTTCAAGTACCACCACCGATTTCTATATGGCTAGCTATCAGAGATGTTCACAAGTCTTTGAGGTAGAGTCCAAGTCAAGTCTCAAGTCCCTTTTGGCAATGGCTTTCTGCCTGCTGTGGGTTAGGTCTTTAAACCTCGTAAATTATTTGAAGAGACTCCCTTGTTCATTAGTCCATACTTGTATGAAAGAAATCACATCAGGCACTATTTAAATCAAAATAAATTTCCTTTTAAAATGTAGACAGTTTACATTAATAAAAGTAACTGTACCGGATATGAAAAAAAGCAAACATAACATTTTTAAAGTGCATGGTATTTTGTGGCAGACATTGCCTATATTTCACTTCATTCTGTCACACAAACAGAAAATCTGTAGGTGAGGGAAGATAAATTACAAGTATAAATGTAAACTAAAATAACTGACAACTGTTCAATAACTGCACTACTAAAGTGTCCTATATATCCAACGTAATAACCTTTATCCCTAAAACATACTTACTGACCGGGACACTTAACAGAAACACAATTTCCTGTAACAAGTAGCAAATTATGTCCTGTGCCCTAAGACAGAGAACATTTCTGTTGCAGACAGGTTACATTTCAGAAAGATCAAGTTTGTCAGCGTTCTTGCACTGAGCCTGGCATGATGAGGGCACATGATGAGGCCTCCATGACTAAACACTCTCTCCACTGGGTCACTGGTGGCAGGCACAGCCAACCTGCTTGAGCCTTGGGAAGTCTTTTACATGGATTCTCCAAAAATCCAAGCAATCAACTTCATTTTCATCAAAAGGTACTTGAATGTAGCGAATAATCTCTGCTCTGACAGATGACTTTATCTTGCTGATCTTGTTGCGGTAGCCAGAGAACAGTCTGGAGGGTTTGGCAGGTGGTTGTTCTTTTTCTTCTCCACTACTGCTCTCCGTAACGGTGACTTTCCGTGCCTCAGCCAAAACAAGGTCTGAAAAAAAATCATAAAAGTATGTGTATATTATCAAGAATATAACAGTATACATTATACATGAAAACAAATCATTATTATTTGAATGCAAGTGACATAGAAAACGTTGCATGCTGTAATGCATTGTACCTACCAATCAGAATCTCCTTCAATTCAGCTTTATCTTCATGTGGTATGAGGACATCATGATCAAGCCAGAACAGGCAGAAAGATGGGTCCAGCAGTGTAGCCATTATGTATACATCGTCACCAAATGGAAGTTTTGTTGCCAATTCATCCGAGTGCTCCATTCTGACATTCACAAATACCCCCTTGGCGTTTGAGTGACTGCTGCAGTGCTTTTACTAGACTGACTAGGTGACGACTTGTGCTCAGTATACTTTGCAGATGATAGTTGAGTGACAATACACAAGGAAGGGCATCACTGGAGTCACCACTTTCTCCCCGAGTAAGGTCGGTGGCCTGGACAAAAGGGTCCAAAATGTCCACTAGCTGGCTCCATTCCCTTGGTGATAAGCAGAGCTCCTTCTGTCCTTGGGACTCAAGTAGAGTATTGAGGTCTTTGTTGATTCAGATTGATGACTGCTTTAACAAGCCAGAGGATGGAATTCCATCTGGTAGACACAGCAGCAGGGATACTACGATTGGCTCCGAACTCAGCTTCAAATGCTTCTTTCAGACCACAGGTAGTATGTAGTAAGTTTAGTTACCTTAGCCATCACACTGTTTACAGTGAGGGAAAAAAGTATTATCCCGTGATTTGTCCGTTTGCCCACTGACAAAGAAATGATAGTCTATAATTTTATGGTAGTTTATTTGAACAGTGAAGACAGAATAACTACAAAAAAAATCCAAAAACGATGTAAAAAGTTATAAATTGATTTGCATTTAATGAGGGAAATAAGTATTGACCCCTTCAACAGAAAGATTTGGCTCCCAGGTTTTTATACAGGTAACAACGAGATTGGAGCACCTCTTAAAGGGGAGTTATCTCTTACCTTTGTTACTGTATAAAAAAAACACTGTCCCAGAAGATAATCAATCAGATTCAAAATCCACCTGTGCCAAGCAAAGAGCTCCAGGTGTCAGGGACAGATTGTGACTACACAAGGCTGGAAGGGAACAAGACCTCGCAAGCAGCTGGTGAGAAGGTGACAATAGTTGGTGCGATTATTCGCAAATGGAAGAAACACAAAAGAACTGTCAATCTCCCTCGGCCTGGGGCTCCATGCAAGATCTCACCTCGTGGAGTTGCAATGATCATGAGAACGGTGAGGAATCAGCCCAGAAGTACACAGGAGGATCTTGTCAATGATCTCAAGGCAGCTGGGACCATAGTCACCAAGAAAACAATTGGTAACACACTACGCCGTGAAGGACTGAAATCATGCAGCGCCTGCAAGGTCCCCCTGCTCAAGAAAGCACATATACAGGCCCGTCTGAAGTTTGCCAATGAACATCTGAATGATTCAGAGGAGAACTGGGTGAAAGTGTTGTGGTCAGATGAGACAAAAATCGAGCTCTTTGGCATCAACTCAACTCGTCGTGTTTGGAGGAGGAGGAATGCTGCCTATGACCCCAAGAACACCATCCCCACCATCAAACATGGAGGTGGAAACATTATGCTTTGGGGGTGTTTTTCTGCTAAGGGGACAGGACAACTTCACCGCATCAAAGGGACGATGGACGGGGCCATGTACCGTCAAATCTTGGGTGAGATCCTCCTTCCCTCTGCCAGGGCATTGAAAATGGGTCATGGATGGGTATTCCAGCATGACAATGACCCAAAACACACGGCCAAGGCAACAAAGGAGTGGCTCAAGAATAAGCACATTAAGGTCCTGGAGTGGCCTAGTCAGTCTCCAGACCTTAATCCCATTGAAAATATGTGGAGGGAGCTGAAGGTTTGAGTTGCCAAACGTCAGCCTCGAAACCTTAATGACTTGGAGAAGATCTGCAAAGAGAAGTGGGACAAAATCCCTCCTGAGATGTGTGCAAACCTGGTGGCCAACTACAAGAAACGTCTGACCTCTGTGATTGCCAACAAGGGTTTTGCCACCAAGTACTAAATCATGTTTTGCAGAGGGGTCAAATACTTATTTTCCTCATTAAAATGCTAATCAATTTATAAAAAATTTGACATGCGTTTTTCGGTTTTCCTTTAGTCCATCTCTAATCTCCAGTTGGTTTGGATAGTTTCAACATCAGCATTGTACTCTTCACTAAATTCTTCGCATAGGCTGGGGTTATCCACATCATTATCATCATGATCGTTGCTTGCTTTGGGGAAACAAACTGTGAAGGCCTTTTTCATATTTGCAGCGTTATCACATATGATATCATCTAATTTATGTTTAATGCCAAAATTATCACATAATACTTCAAATGTATCACTGATTCTTTCCCCAGTGTGTGACCCTGTGAATCTATCACAGCTCAACAGAACTGACTCCAGTCTGGGAGTTTTTTCTCTCTTCCATGGCCATGTAATGGGCCGTTACTCCCATGAAGCCCTTCATGGTCCTCTCAGTCCATATATCTACAGTGACAGACACTGATTCTGTCTTCTCTAGGGCACTTTTGATTGTAGCCTCTTTGTTCAGTGTTAAGTCATGCAGGCGCCTGGTCAACGTGGGCCTACTTACTGGTCTATATTTGTCATCTACCACTGATATGAAATGCCTAAAGTGAGGGTTGTCCACTAAGGACATAGGCAGGTTGCAGGAAATGATCAGGTCTTGCAGTATAGCCTCTGTTATGGCCTTCTGCCTGGGGTGGCCCTGGCTGTACACATGGACACCTGTGGTGGTCAAGAATGAGTCAATGCTGCTCTGTCCTTCTGTCCCTGCGCTGGCCACCTTTGCTTTGCAGAATTCAGTGAACCTGCAGAAGAACAACATGATGGATAGTTGTTGTTGACTTGAGATGGAAGTACAAGGACACAAACAAATATATATGGTCTTCGGAGAAGAGCGGTTGTCTATTTTTTATATGGTTCACGAGTCTCTCATCTAGAGTCCAAGTCAAGTCTCAAATCAATTGATCACGAGTCTAAGTCAAGTACGACTTCAGTGCGTCTCGAGTCGAGTTTCCATCTCTGCTAGCTATGCTACCATTTTACACGAACGGCAGTTAGCAGATATATTTTCTAACCCCGAAATGGCCTATTTCTTAATATTATGCAGCGAAAACAGCCAAACATACTGTATCTAAATCGGATTTTAGTAACCACATTGTGAGCCTGTTCGAACACAAAAATCATCACGGATTTGACGAACATCCGCTTTGTAAAATCTGATTCTTGGAATGTGCGCAAATGACCGCATCCTTTTCCCTCATGGTCTGCGTTCCATTGACTTCTTTACAGTGGGGTTCGAAATGATTGACAGCCTTGATAACGGAGCTACAGTGTATGGTATGCTCCAAAAAATTGGAAAATTATATTATTTTATACTAATCCAACTGCTCAGGGAAAGAGATTTTGTTTAACAAGTAATAAAATATATATATTTTTTAAGGTAGGGGTCAAAATTATTGACACCCTGTTTTCATTACCTTACCTGGCGAAGATAACGGCACTGAGCATTTCTAAAATGTTTTCTGAGTTGGAGAACACATTGGGAGGGATCTTAGACCATTCCTCCATACAGAATCCTTCCAGATCCTTTATATCCTTCCTATGTACTTCTGGACTGCCCACTTCAATTCAAACCACAGGTTTTCAATGTGTTTTAAGTCCAGAGACTAAGATGGCCATTGCAAAATGTTGATTTTGTGGACAATTAATCATTTCTTTGTGGATTTTAATGTGTGATTGAAGTTATTATCTTGCTGGAAGATCCACTTATAATCTCCCAGTTTACCCCCCTCTCTCCCCTTCCATGCACTGTCAATCACGCTACTCCTGACAACATGGACACAATAGGATGAGTTAAGCCAGGCAACTCGCTGGACGTCAAGCTGCTCGAATTGCCCAGAATGTATTTTCTCCCCATTCAAAGAAGTGTAGACTGAGAGACCGCTTACAAAACAGACACACACTTTCTCTTCATCTGGGCTTCAGGCACAACGTTTGGTTGAATGAGTAGGACTCTGCAGGGCTATGAGCATGAGTCGTTGCAAAGTGAAGATAATGGACCAGTTGTGTGGGCTGCTGGACTTCATACGCTAACCCACCTCTCTTATCCCTCCATCTTTTCCTCCATAGTTCCACGGACACCTTTCGGAGAAGAGCGGTTGTTCAGAGAAATGGATGTGAGGATGGCCGGCGGTATCATGGGTGGGATGCTGCTGATGTTAGTGACCACCCTGTTCCTGCTGATCCGATGGGCCAAGAGGAGGAGACGGAGACGTGACCCGGCCGGACGAGGGGCTGTCGCCCTGGGGAAGCACCACAATGTGGTAAGGGTTGCTCTATGCACACATAACACACACTGTATCCACACACAACTCTCACACAAGGGCAACTAAAGAACACACACAAGTGAAATAAAGATATTGATCCAGGTGTTGAAATATTGAATTACCATTTGCTGGCCAGTGGCGACTGAATGAATGATGAGGAATGGCAATGATACATACAGTTTAAGCATGAAAAAACATGTAAACCCACTGAGTATTACAATCAAACACAATGAAGCAACTAAGGATAGTTCACTTATACAACTCTAATCCGAGCTAAATGTGTCATTAACCAGGTTTCCATCCAACCTTTTTATGCAAGTAAAGTACATGTCGGTAAAGAAATGTCACGACAGGCCTGATGGAAACAGAACATTTGTTGGCAAACTTTCCAAATGTCGACAAAACAAAATACGCTAGATAAGGTGGGATGTTTTTGTGTCAGTCAAATTAATGATGTGAGAAATGGTGGTGGAAACGCCTTTATGCGCAAATATTGATATAATAACCATCATATTGAAGTAAACTTGGAGTCACACGATGATATGGTGCGTGGTCCTCCCACTACGACTCGGGAAACCATGCAGTTTATTAGGCTACTGATGAAATAAAGTTATGATGAACTTCACAGGGTGGTGAAAGTGCACAGTGATCTTGATGCTCCTTTCCAATAAATATCAAGGGTCTGATTCTGGTGACATGATGATCGATGATTGACTGCCATTTGACCAATAATCTCATAATGTAGACCAGCCTACCCACACTGTATCTGCGAGCTGTTGGCTAGAGCGCACGTGCCCAGACCATAGTAGGCACATTTGCTATTTAACGCAACAGTTTTTGTGACAAAACTATCAGTAGAGTTGAAAATGCAATGGAAACACATTCAACTTTAGATTTTTATTCGGTACATGAAAACTTAAGCGAAAAAGTACATGTTGTGTGCACTAGGACATCACGCACTGATTTTTATCCGTAACAAGTCCATTTGGTGGAAACACTGGTGGGAAGATTAGCATATTTTCTATATGAGGGTTTTAGAATATTCGTATGAAAATCTGTCGCCAATTGGATGGAAACCCAGCTACTGTCTAATCTAAACTAATCGACCACTTATCTAAACTACAGAGTAATCCAAGGCAAAAAACCATAGAGACTAATATATATATTTTTAAACATGTCTGTAATGCCATATCAACCACAACATTTGAGCCCTGACTACTAAACCAGTGGTCAGCACTACAAGTTAAAACTCAGCATATCAGACACTCTTTCCTTCCTCCCCTCCTTACTCTCTCTACGCTCCTGACGTCTCTTTTCACTAATGCTGTTTATGTAGAGTTTAAGGTGGTTCTAGATGGTGAGTTTTTATGCATGCATTGCTTTGACGTACGCACTAGAGTGATGTTGTGGTTGTGACAGTGAGATGGTGTAATGTGTGTTAAATGCGTACATGTGATGCACTTCCATTGCATAATTATGCAAATGTAGGGATGGCACCTGTGGTTGTACTGTGACGTTGTGGTTCTGCATTGTGTTTTGTTTTCCCAAGATGCAGCAACAAGAAAATGTAGTGCAGCTTGAGAAAATGTACTATGGTGAATTCTGTAAATGTTACACATTGGTGATATGTAACAACCCTAACACAAAAAGTATTGGGACAGTGACATTTTTGTTGTTGTTTTGGCTCTGTACTCCAGCACTTTGGATTTCAAATGATACAATGACTATGAGGTTAAAGTGCAGACTGTCAGCTTTAATTTTGCACCATTTTAGGGGACCAAAAGTATTTTGATAAATTCACTTATGTGTATTAAAGTAGTAAAAAGTTAAGTGGTCCCATATTCATAGCACGTACTGATTACAGAAAGCTTGTGACTCTACACATTTGTTTGATGCATTTGCTGTTTGTTTTGTTGTGTTTCAGATTATTTTGTGCCCATTAGAAATTAATGGTAAATAATGTATTGTGTCATTTTGGAGTCACTTTTATTGTAAATAAGAAATGAATGTTTCTTAACACTTCTACATTAATGTGGATGCTACCATGATTATGGATAATCCTGAATGAATTGTGAATAATGATGAGTGAGAAAGTTAGACGCACAAATATCATACCCCCAAGACATGCTAATACAATAACAGGGGATGTTAGCATTTTTTGGTGGGTATGATATTTATGCCTCTGTACCTTTCTCACTCAACCTTACTCATAATTCATTCAGGATTATCCGTAATCATGGCAGCACAGAGCCAAAACAATAAAAAAAATTGTCACTGTCCCAATACTTTTGGAGCTCACTGTATGTAATAGTATTGCATATGTAATTATTGTGAGTTTGGTGATGAGGTGAAATACTGACTTGCTTATGTTTTGCATCGTAGGCTGAAGCCGATTTATGGTCAGTACCCAACCCCATATGTAAGGGGAATATCATAGATTCAGTCATAGAATAGATCTAGTATCTTTCTCTATGGATTCAGTAGGCTAATGTGTGTTGTGCTTTGAATATTTCGAAAACGGAGTGGCTGTGTGACCAGATTCTCTAGAAGCTTCTTCCCGATAGCTAAACAACCGTACCTTCTGCGTATGTGGTAGTTCATCATATCTTTTGATGTTGCATGATCATTGAAAAGCGAAATAACTGTTATATGTTATTTATGGTTAAAATGCAGTTTTGCCCCAATTCAATGTGTAGACAGGGCTAGGCTACATGGTCATGTAAGCTAAATGCATTTGGTTTCACACCACATTAAGGATAAGGATATTGAAAAAAATACTGTTTGCGTACTGCTTATGTTTGTGCTACTGCGATATCCTTAGTTACAACAGACAGAGAAGGTTGTAGCTACATGTCAATCATGTCATCCTAAATTAGCCTACAAAATATATATATTTTTGGAATGCTCGTTCAAAACTCTGCAGGGTTTTTATTCAACTGTTCAGAAATGTGTGCATAAAGTAACACGGACAGAATATGATACAGTTGTTTAGCTCTGGGGAAGAGGCATCCTGGGGGGCGGGGTATGGGCATGGAGGGGCGGTTTGATCTGGTCGCGCAGCCTCTGCTTTTCGGAAAACACTGTCAAATGTGCTGAATTTGAAACAACACTGCTTTTCCGTAATTGTCCAACGTACTTCTGAAATTCTGAAAGAGACCAATGAGACTTTTGCACAGACAAGGACAACACTGCATCAGTTGGAACATAACAAGTCACAAAGCAACCATTTCAACTCAAAGCAACCCTCTAAATGCCCCTTCTTTCCATGATCGACAGGTGAACTCGGGCCGGCCCATGATGCCCCTGATCGAGGAGGTCTCCTACCAGAACGAAGGGTTCAGAATAAACTACGAGGCCTCAGGAGGTTCCGGAAGCCTCCATGGAAGACATGGGGTCTACACCAGGAAACAGTCGCTGATCCCACCACAACCACGCTCCCACAGCAGCCATCCAGACTGCGGCTCCAGGACCGTAACAGGTGACATGCTGCCTATACTGGTGATGCCAGAGCCCCTGGTTAAAGCACTCACTCCCTCCCTCATCTCCAACGGCAGGAAAGCTGACAGCACCATCAGCACGGGGGCTGTGACGAAAGACGAGAAGGAGAAGAATAAGCAGAGGGATATGGAGAAGGAGGAGGAGAGGGAATGGGAGAAGGAGTGGGAACGCGCCGTTGGCACAAAAGAGAAGAGAAATTCCGAGGGGGAAAGGACGGACAAGTCGAGATATGTTTTGGGTGCTTCTAGTGGTGCTTCTAGTGAGAATGCAGATGTAAGCGAGGCCTCTGAGGACCAAACAAACACAGAAAAGCCTCAGAGCCACAGGATGAAAACACACCAAATCAGAGAACCCAAAGACGGATACAAAAGCACTTCTGAAGAGGAGTCTGAGGCTGAAAATCAATATAAGACTATGCACTCTTAAAACCAATATAAGACAATGTGATCTGTCATTCAGACGATTGACACAGCCACGGAGGACGAACCTGGCGACAGGTCCCGTTACTCCAGCATCAGGACGTCGAGTGGGGAATCGCAGCGCAAGGGCTCAGCGAAACAAACCGGCGATCAAGCAAACAGACGACCCACAGATGCACCATTCAGACTCACACTCTGGGCTTCAGACTCACATTGAGGAAGATGCACCATTTATTCAAAAATAAAACTGACATTATGGAGCCAAACAAACTCTGTGCACAGACAAACATTTCTTTAAATTGTTTTGTTTTCTCTCAATGTGTTTTCTCTCTCCAATTCTAAACGATTATGTTGGGCCTAAAAGAGCTCAACCACTTTTCAGGTCTTGATTGAGTAAATGGACGAATGTAAATCTGAGAACAAAAACGTGTTTTCTGTAAAACTGTGTGGGACCAGTCTTAATGCGAAGGAAGCCATTCTGTATTACTTTCATTTGCAGTGTTGAAGGACCAGTATTTCAGGAATTAAAGTCAGAATGTAAACGCAAGCAACTCTGAAAATATAGTTTACCAAGCTACCAATTACTTCAAACTGGATGAAGTTAAGCTACACTAAAGATACCCTTAAGAAAAATATAGTTTACTTAGCTAAAGTTACTTTGAAAAAGTAGTTCACTACATCCAAACTACTTAGTTAAAAATTATCACATCTAAATCTGAAATGCAATAGACTACATATTGCAAGAACAAATCACTCTGGAGTCAGATGTTAACAGAATGTGTAGTGAGAATTAGGCACACAAAATGTGTTTCAAGTGAGAATTAGGCATGTTTGATGATGAAAAAGAAAGACAATTCTTGCCTACTTCACCTACGGTGCATTCGGAAAGTATTCAGACCCCTTGACTTTTTCCACATTTTGTTACGTTACAGCCTTATTCTAAAATTGATTAAATACAATGTTTTCCTCGTCACTCTACACACAATACCCCATAATGACAAAGTGAAAACAAGTTTTTAGAAATTTTAGCAAATGTATTCAAAATAAAAAACTCAAATAACCTTATTTGCATAAGTATTCAGCACCTTTGCTATGAGACTCGAAATTGAGTTCCGGTGCATCCTGTTTCCATTGATCATCCTTAAGATGTTTCTACAACTTGATTGGAGTCCACCTGTGGTAAATTCAATTGATTGGACATTATTTGGAAAGGCACACACCTGCCTACACAAGGTCCCACAGTTGACAGTGTATGTCAGAGCAAAAACCAAGCCATGAGGTCGAAGGAATTGTTCGAGACAGGATTGTGTCAAGGCACAGATCTGGGGAAGGGCACCAAAAAATATCTGCAGCATTGAAGGTCCCCAAGAACACAGTGGCCTCCATCATTCTTAAATGCAAGAAGTTTGGAACCACCAAGACTCTTCTAGAGCTGGCCGCCTGGCCAAACTGAGCAATCGGGGGAGAAGGGCCTTGGTCAGGGAGGTGACCAAGAACCCAATGGTCAATCTGACAGAGCTCCAGAGTTCCTCTGTGGAGATGGGAGAAATTTCCAGAAGTACAACAATCTCTGCAGCACTCCACTAATCAGGCCTTTATGGTAGAGTGGCCAGACGGAAGCCACTCCTCAGTAAAAGGCACATGACAGCCCGCTTGGAGTTTGCCAAAAGGCACCTAAAGACTCTCAGACCATGATAAACAAGATTCTCTGGTCTGATGAAACCAAGACTGAACTCTTTGTCCTGAATGCCAAGCGTCACGTCTGGAGGAAACCTGGCACCATCCCTACGGTGAAGCATGGTGGTGGCAGCATCATGCTGTGGGGATGTTTTTCAGTGGCAGGGACTGGGAGACTAGTCAGGATCGAGGGAAAGATGAACAGAGCAAAGTACAGAGATCATTGATGAAAACCTGCTCCAGAGCGCTCAGGACCTCTGACTGGGGCGAAGGTTCACCTTCCAACAGGACAATGAACCTAAGCACACAGTCAAGACAACACAGGAGTGGCTTCGGGACAAGCCTCGAATGTCCTTGAGTGGCCCAGCCAGAACCCGGACTTGAACCCCATCGAACATCTCTGGAGAGACCTGAAAATAGCTGTGCAGCGATGCTCCACATCCAACCTGACATACCTTGAGAGGATCTGCAGAGAAGAATGGGAGAAACTCCCCAAATACAGGTGTGCCAAGCTTGTAGCGTCATTCCCAAGAAGACTTGAGGCTGTAATCGCTGCAAAAGGTGCTTCAACAAAGTACTGACTAAAGGGTCTGAATACTTATGTAAATGTAATATTTCAGTTTTTGTTATGTTTTATACATTTGCAAACATTTTTAAAAACTTGTTTTTGCTTTGTCATTATGGCGTATTGTGTGTAGATTGATGAGAAAAAATATAACTATTTAATCAATTTTAGAATAAGGCTATAACGTAACAAAATGTGGAAAAAGTCAAGGGGTCTGAATACTTTCTGAATGCACTGTATATTTTATTTTCTTACTGCAAAAAAAGTTGTGTGTAGTTCTAATAGTTAGCTACACCGCTACATGGCAAAAAAGTAATTAACTACTGAAAACACTACAAAGATTCGAATTGTGTTTTTCTACCACCAAGCTACTGCAAAATGTAATTACTAGTGGAACTACATGTAGTTCACTACTCCCCAACACTGTGTAACTATAGTGTACAGTGATTGTGACATCACTACTGTCTACTATAGAGTGTACACCGAAGTTTCATACTGTAGATGTCCACACACAAAGACATTAGTGTTGTTTCAAAAACAATGGTTCAACCCCACTTGAATGATGTGTTCAGCACATTGTAAATAAACAGATTTTGTGATTTCTGTTTCAAAAACTGTTTCAAAATTGTGTTTTCCTATGAATAACTTTAAGGAATGGATGTATTCTATGTGCAGCTATGATAGAATGATATTGGGTGTCTATATAATTATGACATTTTTCTATTCATGTATAATTGTAGCTAATAATAACTAGCTAAAAACTACAACACTCATCCTAAACATAAAGGCACACTTTCAATCACTGAGAAAAGTTATGTTATATTAGCTTTATAGGCTTTTAATTGTCCTTGGGCTTCATGAATCACACTTCTTGGCTGCCACGAGGCTCAGCAGCAGCCATGTTGACTTCCACGAGCCTGAACGATTGGACGAGTAGCGCCACGTGCATAAAGACTTCCCTAACAATGGCCAATATGGGGTGGAGAATGTCCCTGACAGCCCATGAGACGTTGACGAGACACCTGGCCATGGGCTGGAGGGCGTGGCTAAACAGTGCCCGGAGCAGAGCTGTGATCACCTGTTCCCCTAGCACTACGACTAATCCCACTATCAACACCTGTGTGCACACAGGTAAAGACAGGTGAACTAAATGCAACTGGAATATGGGTAATGTAGACCTAATATAATATACTTTGAAATAACTGAATTCTAGTTATTAATCTGAATATACCCATGCATATCATTATCCCTTGGAGAGCAACTTTACCTTGATGACATACTGTGTGATGAAGCTGAGCAGCTCTATGATGAAGGCAGTAGCCAGGCTGAAGGGGAAGCTAATGGACTGGAAGATTCTGCGCCAACAGCTGGGGATCATCTTATTCCCCCTGCAGAGACAAAATAAACTTCAGGAAGAAGGTCAATTTAAACATGTATAATGAACAAAGTGTGGCAAGAAAGGTGTGCCACTACCTGTGCAGGGCATGGTCACAGGCATCGTCATCCTCTGGGCTCATGCTCTCTCTGTGATGGGGTAACATATGCACAGGTCTGTGAAACGAAAACAAACATCTCTAAAACTTTATTAATAATCAATCAATAAATTGAATACTCAATGTGCACAACCAAACAACGCAGAACAACCAAACAATGCCTGAGTCGACATGCTTTGCAAGGGGCTGTGAGCTGCTGTGTGCTTGCTTACCCATCCTCCATGTGGTTGTTGGCTGTCCTCTCACCTGCTGCCTCTCTCTGTTTGTTCCCAGGACTTGCAAGAGCCCTCTCATCCTCTCCAGATTCCTTAGAGAGGAAACACACACATCTCTCACACCACTCTGGACATCAATCACACATCCACAGACTGCTTTAGATTGTGATTCATTTTCAGTTATTATGTCTGTATGACATGTATAATCTGTAGTACTATCTCTTTAGAAGCACTGTTGCCTTTAGATATATATTATCGAAGGAAGCTGCCTATATGTACTCGCAAAAGGAACTGTACTGGTGCTGCAAATACTGTGAATCACGAGAAGAGAAAGTGTTGTTTGGTGCAATAAAATTAAATGGAGGGAGATAATACTGTGCAACTTCATTCATTTGATCCTCAGAAATGCCATGCTAAAGGATTGTCCCCCAGTGTCCCTTTTATAGAGGATAAGGAACAGACATTAGTACTGCAAGACATTAGACATTAGTACTGCAAGTACACCCATTGGTTCATCTCGCTCGCTGCTGTACTGCCATCTAGTGTCTTGACCCGGGGGGCCCTTCATGGTGTCCAGTTTCAGGAGAAGATCCTGGAGCGTGTCCTTTTTCAGGAAGAGATCAATCAGAGGAAAATAAAATAATACATTAACTTTAGCTAAATGCAAACCAAACATCAACTAGGCCTACATTTTGAAGATATTCTCTGAGTAATTTTGCATCCTAGACAGTGTAAGGCCTATTTCTTAGGGTCATGCTCTGATAACTACCACATGCTATGAAAAACATGATTTGGGTACATTAGTATCAAGACCTCTGATATTTCCCTCTGACCACTGACCTTTGACATGGATTTCCTTCTGGGCCCTGAGGTGGGAACCAGCCTGCTGTTTGAGATGGAGTAGGTACTCATAGCTGCTGGGGGGACTGTTGGATCTGGAGGATCCTACATCAATATCTTCATCATTCCCTTTGGTGCTACAGCCCTCTATGAAAACACACACAAAGATTTTTACTCAAGTGATGTTTTGTCCTGCCCCAGGAAAGTCCTAGTTAGTGGTTTTTGATTGAACAAGGCCCTCAGTCAAGAGATACAGTTCAATGCAATCTAGTGTTTGAAATATAAGGAGTGTCTCACCATTATCAATGGACAGGAAGTTTCATCGATGACCTCATAATTCTCTCTGCCCTGTGGCTTTTGCTGTAATTGGTGGAGGTGACATTTACAGGTGTACTTGGACCTATACCTGAGAGACGTAAAACCTGCCCTGAGACTGAGGCAATACCCAGAGGTAA